GCAATGGCAACGCGGCGCCCTGCATGCATGCATGCAACTTCCACCGGCACTCCGGACTTGGCAGGTGAGGGGGGTCCCCAGTGGGCGGCAGAGAGAGCCGGGAGGGCGAATGGGGAGCCGGGGGGGAGCAGCGCTGCTCCCCGAGCCGAGCCCGGGGGAAAACTTCGGCGTCGTTGCCGGGTGTTGGAAGCGGAGGCTGGCGGGGGCCCCTCACCTGCAAAACCTGGTCGCCTCTCATATATTTCGTGCATTGCATTCATCGCCCGCTTTCTCCCGGGAGCTCCCGGGGGGGCGCGTGGTTCTCCCCGTGTTATCCTCGCAACAACAGCCCTGCTAGGTGGGTCAGGCGAGTGGCCCAAGGGAGCACCCAGGGATTGTCCTGGCCAGGTGGGGTGATTTGAACCCTGCTCTCTGCCCGGTCTTCGTCCTCATTTAGCCCCCACATGTGCATGACTGTGCATGACTGAGGTTTTCCCCCCTCGTCTTGGCTATGGTGTGAGTCTGTGCTGTTAATTAATGGGGTTCTGCCTTCGGAGAAGATGAGCCAGCCCTCAAGGAGGTGATTATGTAATTTGCTAGCAATTCATGTCCCTCCCGGCGTGACGCTGCGCGCTGACGTCACGGGGCTGTAATGGTGGTGTGCCTCGAGATTTTTTTCATGAAACAAGTGTGCCTTTGCCCAAAAAAGGTTGGGAAACACTGGTTTAGGGCCTCATCAAACCTAAATTAGGCCCTGGGTAGATACTCAGCAAAGATGAATGTCAGAAGGTTCAACACAGATAAATAAATAATTCTTCCCACCGTAGGAAGCGATGTGCACCAACTCAGATTGATTTGTTTGTTTGTTTTAGTTTTTATTTATACTTTTCAAATTTATACAGCTCATTAATTTTACAATCATTTTAACATTTCAAAGTTTGACTTCCTTCCCCCTCTTTTGGGAATTATAGGGACAGAACTACCTAAATTGTATAGAAATTTATTTATGTATGCTACTACAGCAGCAAGAATGCTACTCGCCCCAAAGTAGAAAGAAGCAGAAGTCCCAGCAAAGGAAGAATGGATACAAAAACTTATGGAATATGCAGAAATGGCAAAACTTACCAGAAGAATAAGAAATCAAGATAAGAAACTTTTTATAAAAGAATGGAAATGGCTTATTGAATATTTGCAGATAAATTGCAAACAGATAAAAACATCGGCAGGATTATTGTAATAACCTGCGGTTTCATAGGAGTATATATTTAAACCAGATAATTAAATGAGCAAATTAAATGAATTTGGATATGCAGAAGATATTTAAAAATAAATTTAAGGAACCGCAGAAAAAGGGGGAAGGAAGTCAAACTTTGAAATGCTGAATTGATTGTCAAACTAATGAAATGTATAAACTTGAGAAGTATAAATAAAAACTTTTTTAAAAAAAGTGTGTTTGTGTAGCACTCATCAGATCAGTCACGTTGGTGTAATCTTCCCAGAAATGGTGGAAGTGAAGAATAAACCAACCGCCTAGTGCTCTGTAGATCTGGTCTGGGGAACCTGTGGTCCTCAGGCTTTTCCCTCAACTACCGTCCCCATCTTCCTTGACCATTGGCCTGTCTTGCTGGGGCTGATGGGAGTTGTAGTTCAGCAACACCTGGAGGTCCAGAGGCTCTCTCTTCCCCAACATACATGAAAGTTAAGCATCGCTTCCTACAAACACAGAGTTGGACCCACGGAAGCCTGTGGCCAGCACCACAGCCACCCACTTACAATGGTCAGAGGGAGGAACTCATCACAATTAACAGCACCATGATACTCAGATGTGAAATAGTACCAAGCACATAATTTTGCATTCAGGTTCGTCCTCTCCCCTCCCTACCACCAGTACCGGTAACTGAAAGTCAAAATATCTGTATTATTTTGAGGTCATAGTGCCCTCTTCTGTCTGGCAGGGAGCACTTCAGGTCAGCAAGACAGTCCTTAAATATGAAACTGTCTCAAGAGCCTTTAAGCAACTCTTTTGGCAAAAGCAAATTGGGGGACAGTTTGTGTTATAGCTAGGGATGGGTGATAAATTCTTTTTTTTCTTTTTCTTTTTCTTTTTTTGGTAGGCATCTTAATGAGAAATCTGCACATCTCAGTCCAATTTCCACACTGGAGCACAAAAACCGTTCAAAACTCATGCTTCTCCAGGTTTTGCAATGCCGCGCGGTGGCAGAGCTAGTAACACTACGAACCATAAAACCCGATGCTAAAAGCAGCTGCTGTTTTTTATTGCTTCATTTCACAAGATTTCCATACTGCTTGATTGCAATCAAAAGCTCAAAACTGTTGGGATAAAACAGAAAAGCAATAAAACCATTAGTTTTTAGTTAATAGTTGTTTAAAGCTATTTAAAGCACACAGCAATTATTAAAATTGAATAATTTCATTTGTTATTTAATAATATTTTTTAATAAATAGAATAGAAACCAGATGGAAACACAGATTGTCAATGATCTACATGTCTAGATAAAGGTAAAGGGACCCCCTGACCATTAGGTCCAGTCGTGGCCGACTCTGGGGTTGCGGTGCTCATCTAATTTGAACTTCCAAATCCTAAATTTCATCACACTGATAGCTGACTTCCTCGAATCCCCTCTAACTGAATTTCATTATATCACCTATTTAGGCAGTTCTCCAAATTCATATTTCTAATAATATTAACTTCTTTCATTTACTAACTTCTTCTCCTTTATTAATATTCTAATCCTTACTATTTATTAACAACATATTCATATACCACCCCTAAGCCTAATTATTACTTCCAAGAAATTTCTCTTTATCTTATATTACAATATTTAGCCAAATATTCTTTAAAATTCTTCCAATCCTCTTGTGTCTCCTCTTCTCTCTGGTCTGGCATTATCAGCACCACGCTCTGTTGTTGCTGTTTAGTCGTGACCGACTCTTCGTGACCCCATGGACCAGAGCACGCCAGGCAGTCCTGTCTCCCACTGCCTCCCGCAGTTTGGTCAAACTCATGCTGGTAGCTTCGAGAACACTGTCCCACCATCTCATCCTCTGTCGTCCCCTTCTCCTTGTGCCCTCCATCTTTCCCAACATCAGGGTCTTTTCCAGGGAGTCTTCTCTTCTCATGTGGGGCCAAAGTATAGGAGCCTCAGTTTCAGGATCTGTCCTTCCAGTGAGCACTCAGGGCTGATTTCCTTAAGAATGGAGAGGTTTGATCTTCTTGCAGTCCATGGGACTCTCAAGAGTCTCCTCCAGCACCATAATTCAAAAGGATCAATTCAATTCCCATTATAGTGTTGGCTGGGGATAATGGCAGCTGGGGTCCAATATTTTGAAGGCCATAGGTTTCTCGTTGATACTTCAGGAGAAGGGCCATAGCTTAGTGGTTGCGTGCAGAAGACCCCAGGGCCCTGGCAACCGTAAATACACACCTTCCGGCGCCAGGCGAAAACATTCCTCTTCCACCAGGCCTTTGGCCTATTAACATCCTATACCCTTTTTAAATGTGTTTGTGGGAGGGAGGATTATTGCTTTTGTTTGTAGAGGCGGAGAAAGGGGGGTGCAGTGGGTGCGGCCCACCCTGGGTGCCATACCTGAGGGGGGAGTGACATTTCCACGCTTGTGGCAGCCGCACACCTCCGGGACGCTCGCCCCACCCCCCTGGGATGCTTGGTGTTATGTACTGAAGTTCTCACCCTGGGCCAGCAGGGGGATACTGTAGCTAGTTTTCAATCAGGTCCACATATGCAAATAAAGGATTGAAAGTGACGTTCAGTGATTGGATAGTTACAGAAAATGGTTACTGTTGCGTTCTAGTGGAGCTCTGGCTGAACTCTTCAGTTCAGTTCTGTTCTGGCCTGTGAATAAACAAGAGCTATTTGAAGAATCGCTGTGTCGTCTGATATGTTAACCCACAACTTAACACTAGCCCTGCCCCCCAGGTGCACGCCGCTCCATGTGCCAGAGCAGCCAGAGCAGCCTCTGCTCGTTTGTGTTGTTTTTGTGATTTGAAGTCATTTTGCATGTTTCCCTTCCATTGAGAAAACCTTCCTCCTTCCTCGCTTGGCACATTCAAGATTCCTAGGCGTCCTCTGGACCCTTACCAATCCCTCATTCATAAGAGCGTAAGTAGCCACCCTCAGCGCCATGCTAATGAACTGCACCATGACCCTAGAGCGGTTTGTAAGTCCTGGCAGGGCAGGCAAAGCCATAAATCTATGGCAACACACTTCTCCACTCATCTCTGGGCCTCCATGCGCCATGCAGCTTCTTCGTCTGTCATGCTCACTCGGCTGCATCTGGGTGGGCAGGAAGGACTGCTGATTTGAAAAGTGCTAATTCAGTCACTCTGGTAGCTGTGATTTATTCTTTTATTTTGTAATGGGCATAGGATGAGGGATTCACAACAGATGGATTCAGTGATTTTTAAAAAACGAAAACAAAACCTTGCTATTTTGTTATAATTTCTAACTTTTCTCCTAAACTTCAACATTTCACAGCACAAAACAGAGTGTAATTTGTGATGCCCCCCCTCCCAGACCCCATCCTCATTTCAAGAATTACTAATGGAGCTTTCCCCCCGGCCCACCCCAACCCCACATCGCTGGAGGTCTGCTATATTTGTTTTAAAACTATGGATTTACCAGCTTGTTATCCATAGCTGGGGAACTTTATGCAGGTCTCTTAGGCCTTAAACAAAAAGCTTGGATTAGTGATTTTTTTTTCCAGGCCATTGTTTGTTAGTGGTCCACTTGCTCCAAAAGGGAGCAAACCCTTTTATTCATTGAAAATTTGCCTTTGGTTCCATATTGCAGGTTCGTCTTGGGAGCAAATTTGAACAGAGGCTTATACAGTGGTACCTCGGGTTAAGAAGTTAGTTTGTTCTGGAGGTCCGTTCTTAACCTGAAACTGTTCTTAACCTGAAGCACTACTTTAGCTAATGGGGCCTCCTGCCGCCACCGCACAATTTCTGTTCTCATCCTGAAGCAAAGTTCTTAACCCGAGGTACTATTTCTGGGATAGCAGAGTCTATAACCTGAAGCATCTGCAACCCGAGGTACCACTGTACTTTTGATCCAATCACGGTACCATAACACATTAGTAAAGGTCCACTGATTTAATCAAGGACATCTCACTGACAGAAGGATGTGTTCTTGCTCCCATCTTACTTAATCTATATTTGACGGACCTTCTCCGTACCATCTCATCCACCTAAGACTGGGCTAACTAAAGTCTTTATTCTCCTTTGTGTTGGTGACACTGTTATCTTATACAAAGCTGGGCCAATATATTTTTTTTTTAAAAAAAAAACCACCTGAATATTGCGTATTTTTGTTTTCAATACTACTGAAACAAAGCCATCTCATCCACAAGTGGACTTCTGCTGAACTCCTCTCTTCTCCCACACATCCAACCCGTCGATCAGTCTGCACCCTTTCGGGAATGAGTCGACCACGTATCTCCCCGTTCGTCGAATTCGGTGACCGTTCGCCTGGCTTCCTTGGCTATCCTTCGAATTCTACGCAGGTAGACGATGACTAGGAGAAGCAGGACTGCTTGCACGAGGAGGAAGATAAAAAGGCACATCTGAGAGATGAGCGCTAGGCCACAGTACCAGTACTGACAGGTGGAAATGATCTCATCCTCCGACAAATAGCTGATGATCCTGCCTTGAAGATGGGAGGGGGATAAGCATATGACGTTCCTGTAAAAGCTCCGGTTCTGCTGCCACTGGAGCCAGGAGCGCAGGTAGAGGATGTGACAGTCACATTCCCAGGGGTTTGCCCACAGGTGAACCACCTGGAGGTCTTTCAGGTTGTCAAAGAGCCCATTGGGGATGGAGGTGAGATTGTTGTGGTTGAGGTAGAGCCTGGTGGTCGAGGGAGGGAAGGAGGTGGGGAGGTTGTTGTGCATAAGATCTTTTGCCGTGCAGTCAATAAGAGTGGAGGCGCACAGGCAGGGCTCAGGGCAGGTTGGAGTGACGAGAGGGAGGAAGACGAGGAGGAGGATGAGCTGGAGGAAAATCATCTTCCACCCTGAAAGACGCAAGAGTCGCCAGTTAGACCAACAAACAATACAAGCAACACGAAGACCAGTATACTAGATAGCACTGCAATTCTTATTGCATAATATGCATGATTTACCAGTGGCGTAGCGTGGGTTGTCAGCACCCGGGGCAAGGCAAGTAATTTGCGCCCCCTAACCCATGGATTTGCGCCCCCTAACCCGTGGATTTGCCTAACCCCCAGATGTTGCGCCCAGTGCAGCCGGCCCCCCCTGCACCCCCCACGCTACGCCACTGTGATTTACTACAACAAAAACAAAATGTGTACACTTGTAAATTCTCTAATATATTTGAAATCAAATCAATCTTTGAAAGTCTGTAGAAGTATATTAAGTCTATGGTTGAAACAAAGTAATAGATGCTATCCTGTTGGCTAAGCGGTAGAACTTTTTTAGGCATTCATGGTGCCGAAGTAGTAAGTGAATAACAACGTAGGACAGTGATTTCTGATAATCTGACTGTTTCGCTGGAATCTTCTTCAGCACAACTACAAAAGAATTCAAATATGAAACAATGACCTGTGTACATGTAAACTATATAAACTTCACACATTACAACCCATATGCTACAACTACAATAAGAAGAACAAAGGTACATACCCCATAGATTAGAAGAATGCACAAGGAGCAGTGGTCATGAGAATATGTAACCACTGCTACCAGTTGCATGAAACCATTCCCAGATGGCGCTCATTACAGGGATACAGAATTGCAGTTACGAATTGGCCAGTTACACCAAAGCACTACCATCACACATACCAGGTCAATCATTCAAGGGAATGGAAGGACAGGGTCAACATTGCAGGTCATCTAAATCAGGGAAACGGTGGAGCTCAAGATGTTGCTGGACTCTAACCCTGATCACCTCTGACTCTTGGCCATACTGGCTGAGGCTGATGGGAGTTGGAGTCGCAACAGTATGGGGTGGGCGACACTGTTCCCTCCATCTCTGGTATGAACTTAAGAGTAGAAAAATGGGAAACTGAGAGAAATAAGAATTGACAGGTTTTCTTTTTTTTATATATAAAATTTTTATTGGTTTTTCACCTTTTATAAAGACAAAATACACACAGAAAAGACAAAAGACAAAAACATGTATAATTTCAGAAAATCCTACTTTTCTAACCTTGTTCCCTGACTTCCCCCCTCCCCCCTTCATGCATCCCAATTCCCAGAATTATGTCAGCAAATTGGTATTTCTCCTCTTAACCATCTTAATATTACCTCTTTTATAATGAAAAATAAATTTTTTCTAAGTTGGACTCAAATTCCCTTCCATCGATTTCCCATTTTGTTTTAAATAAAGGTCATATTATCTGAACCCAAAGGTCTTGAGTGTTTTTAAAATTCTATTCTTCCCTCCCTCCCATCCCCGGTTTTCGTCCCTTCCCAATACATGTCCAAAATAGCAGTTCTTAGCCAGGGTTCCTCACGTCCGAGGCCTTCAAGTAAGAATTGACAGGTTTTCTCATCCCGGCGCAAAATCAGTGTGACCCCGGCTGCTTGTCATCTTAATTTGACCAAAGGTACCTCCATTACTTTTCATAGTACACAAGCAGCCATTTGTGATAACAGGGTGTAGGGATTCGGCTATACAGCTGCAAATCTAATGTTTTGAGTGAGTTTTAAGTGCATTGTACTAATGTGGCGCTAGATGGCGATGGTGAGCTAATGGCAAATTCAACATATATATTTTTAAAAAAATTAAAGCATTTCCGCAGAATGTGTGTGTGTGTGTCGAGATTCAGCCTAGGTGGGGGAAATGGCCTGACCCACCCAAAAGTACAGGGCCCAGAAAATTCTGCAAATGCCTCATAGCTCAGAGCGAAAGCCTGTTTTCCTCCCTCTGAAAAGCATCCTAAATTTGCACCTTTAAAAGTAAATCAGCAAATGCAAAACGTATGTACATCATATGCAAACTTGTGCCCCAAGTCTTTTAACTCTCTAGTGATGCCCCTGTACATTGGTCATTTTACTATTTTATAAAATTCAGTTGCACAGTACCCTTTTTCTTTTCTTGCTACTATTTGGTGCTGCCAGCCAAACTGCATTATACTGAGTCAGACCATTAGTCTATCTAGCTCAGCACTGCCTACTCTGACTGGCAGCAGCTATCCTGGATTCAAGGCATGAATCACTCCCAGACCCACCTGGAGGTGCCAGGGAATGAACCTGGGACCTTCTGCATGCAAAGCAGGTGCTCTACCACTGAGCTATGCCCCTTCCTCTAAAAAAAAACACAGTCCTAAATTAAGATAAAAGGCTGTATTAAATAGAACATAAGGCTGAGAATTCTGGATTCCAGTTGCCAGGACTGGTGGGCAGGAGAGTGCTATTATGCTCACGTTTTGTTTGTGATCTCCCCATAGGCTTCTGGTTGGCCTTCGTTGAGACCAGAGACTCGGCTATAAAGCTGCAAATAAAACGTTTTAAGTGCAATATACAACGGGACACTAGATGCTGATGGTGAGCCTTATGGAAAGTCAATGTGTTTTTAAAAAGCGATTTTAGAAAAAAGCATTTTCAATGTGGTTTTTATATGTGTCTGGATTCCACCAAGGGTTCAAATCTCACTTTCAGCTGGTCACTAACTCTTGCCCATATCTACTTCACCGGGTTGTTGTGAGCCAGTGCTATTTTTCTAGAAAAAGAGGAGCCAGAACACACCATGAACCCTTTTTCTCTTAGAATGGCAATGGTCCCATGCTAATCTTCTCTGTATCTTTCCAATTTTTAGTATATGTGCTGCCGAAGCAAGATAAGTGTTGGAAAGGGAATCATTTACCCACTAGGGGAGAGTGGTTATGTAAAGCTTTCAGAATATTTAGAATTAGCCAAATTGACAGATTATAATAAGACAAAAACCAAAAAGTGAAGTGAAAAAGGAATGGGAGTGTCTCAATGAATACCTTAAAAAGCCAAGGTTCGAGGACAGAAATCTGGCTGAGTCTGGAATAACCTTGCGAAGTGAAAGGATAGGAAGGAGGGATTTATATCTGGATGCTAGGATAGAGATGATAATGAGAACAGGAAGACACAAGGAGAGGTTAAGGATGTGCTGTGGGATGGGTGGAAGTCAATGTTTTCTTTTTAGTGTTTATACTATTAACTTGTAAAAACAAAAAAATTCCTTCCAGTAGCACCTTAAAGACCAACTAAGTTAGTTCTTGGTATGAGCTTTCGTGTGCATGCACACTTCTTCAGATACACTGAAACAGAAGTTGCCAGATCCTTCTATATAGTGAGAAGGTGGGGAGGGGTATTACTCAGAAGGGTGGTGGGAATGGGTGATTGGCAGATAGCTGAGATCTTAACTTGTAAGATATGGATTTTTTTTGGTTTTTTTGTAAGATATGGATTTTTTTGGTTTTTTGAATGTTGTGTTTTGTTATTTTTCGATATTTTTCGTGTTGTTGTTGTGGGGAAAATACTAATAAAATTTATAATAATAATTTTAAAAAAGAATGGCAACAGTGCCCACTTGAGAGCTGCCACAGGTGAGCTCCTGTCAGCTCCAGCTGGGGTGGGGAGCCCTGGTTTCGAGGATAATATGGAATATGGGAGAGAGGATCGCCACTCTGAGCTACTTGGAGGAATAGTGGGACATAAATGGAACAGTACATCAAGAAAGAAAATTCCTTAGCTTATTTTTTGCAGTCTGGGCATGCCCTTAGAATGGAAAGGAAAGGTTTTATTCAAGGAGGAGCTATATCCAGGAAGGTTTGCAATGCCAGAGGCAGAGCCCCACAGCGCTGTTACCAAATGATGTTACCATTCACAGACAGGTAGCATTGAGACAGAAAAGGTAGTCCACTCTGCCAGAGTGTAGTAATTACCCCCGCTATTGAAATATTGGGGATTTTGCTAAAAGCCTATTATAAAATAATAGCAGCGCCCAGTTACTGTGGGTTTATCTCATCCATCAATGGAATGCAGAGGTTTTGCAATTCATCTCCTCTGTTTGTAGGGGAGGAGGGAGGTGGAATTTTAGACAGCTGATAATAAAAATTGCCGTGAGAAAAATGCAAAATAAGCCTGGGTAAAGCCCCTTCATTTCATTGACCAAGGTTTTTGGGTTTTTTTGTGTGTGTCTTTTTGGACAAAGAGGATTGTGGCATTTCATATAAGGGGGCCATTGTCCTGGAAATAAAATCTCCATTTCACCTTTCTTCTCTGGCCACGATCAATAGGAGGAAATTAAAGTCCTGTCCTGGGAAGAAGCAGAAAGCTAGCTTACTGCCACAGCGATGAAAGATCAGGTAATCATAATACAGGAAAGGGAAGCAGAGGTGAGGTTTGGGCGCCATCCCTTGGACACTTAGAGGCAGTGCTGCTAAGAAGGCCCACACGAAAGCTTTTCAGAAGGCAGCGTGCAGAACAACGAATGGAAGTAAAACATCAGATAAACTGAACAGAGGAAGTTAGCCCATGGGAGTTTAGCTTAGTTTCACTCCATAAATTCTTCTGTGAGAATCTATCATGGCCATAGGTGGTGGGAGAGCATGCAACCAGCTTTATAGCAAGGTTACGGTTAGGGCAACCTGTGGGTCCTCCAGAGATATTGTAAATCATAGCGTTGGAAGGTTCCCAAGGGTCATCTAATCCAACGCAGGAATATGCAGTTGTCCCTTGTGGGGATTGAACCTGCAACTGTGGGCATTATCTTTTCTTTTTTCCAAAAAAAAATATTTATTGGTTTTCACACTTGTAAAAAAGAAAAACAAGAAAAAAGAAAAACATTACAATGCACACAAAAAAGAAAAACACATAAAATGAATTTTAAACATTTCCAATCCTAATTTATCACACTGATAGCTGACTTCCTCGAATCCCCCTCTAACTGAATTTCATTATATCACCTATTTAGCAGTTCTCCAATTCATATTTCTAATAATATTAACTTCTTTCATTTACTAACTTCTTCTCCTTTATTAATATTCTAATCCTTACTATTATTAACAACATATTCATATACCACCCCTAAGCCTAATTATTACTTCCAAGAAATTCTCTCTTATCTTATATTACAATATTTAGCCAAATATTCTTTAAAATTCTTCCAATCCTCTTGTGTCTCCTCTTCTCTCTGGTCTGGCATTATCAGCACCCACGCTCTGTTGTTGCTGTTTAGTCGTGACCGACTCTTCGTGACCCCATGGACCAGAGCACGCCAGGCAGTCCTGTCTCCCACTGCCTCCCGCAGTTTGGTCAAACTCATGCTGGTAGCTTCGAGAACACTGTCCCCACCATCTCGTCCTCTGTCGTCCCCTTCTCCTTGTGCCCTCCATCTTTCCCAACATCAGGGTCTTTTCCAGGGAGTCTTCTCTTCTCATGTGGGGCCAAAGTATAGGAGCCTCAGTTTCAGGATCTGTCCTTCCAGTGAGCACTCAGGGCTGATTTCCTTAAGAATGGAGAGGTTTGATCTTCTTGCAGTCCATGGGATCTCAAGAGTCTCCTCAGCACCAATAATTCAAAAGGATCAATTCAATTCCCATTATAGTGTTGGCTGGGGATAATGGCAGCTGGGGTCCAATATTTTGAAGGCCATAGGTTTCTCGTTGATACTTCAGGAGAACGGCCAAGCTTAGTGGTTGCGTGCGAGAAGACCCAGGGCCCTGGCAAACCGTAAATACACACCTTCCGGCGCCAGGCGAAAACATTCCTCTTCACCAAGGCCATTTGGCCTATTAACATCCTATTTACCCTTTTTAAATGTGTTTGTGGCGAGGGAGATTATTGCTTTGTTTGTAAGGGCGGAGAAAGGGGGGTGCAGTGGGTGCCGGCCACCCATGGGTGGCCATACCTGAGGGGGGAGTGACATTTCCAACGGCTTGTGGCAGCCGCACACCTCCGGGAAACGCTCGCTCCACGCTAGGACATTCACCCCCCCCTGGCGATGCTTGGTGTTATGTACTGAAGTTCACCCTGGGCCAGGCAGGGGGATACTGCTACTAGTTTTCAATCAGGTCCACATATGCAAATAAGGGATTGGAAAGCTGACCGTTCGTGATTGGATAGTTACAGGAAATGGTTACTGTTGCGTTCTAGTGGAGCTCTCGGCTGAAACTCTTCAGTTCAAGTTCTGTTCTGGCTGTGCCCGGTGAATAACAAGGAGCTTTTGAAGAATCGCTGTGTCGTCTGATATGTTAACCCACAACTTAACACTAGCCCTGCCCCCCAGGTGCACGCCGCTCCATGTGCCAGAGCAGCCAGAGCAGCCTCTGCTCGTTTGTGTTGTTTTTGTGATTTGAAGTCATTTT